TGAATAAAATTTTAACAGTTGATTTTTCATAGAAAAAAATTCTTTCAATAAGAATAGTAAGTACTAACGATTATTAAAAGAATATTAATCTGTTGTTCATATATTAATGTATTAGCGAAAAATAAGAAATTCATGAAATGACAGATCGTAGAAGTCTGTCAGGAAGCTTGTTAGAGTTAAGGTGGATCCCGTGCAGGTGCTTCTGAATCCGTCACAAAAGATTTTCTAGATATTTCGTGTTTCCCATTTTCATTGTTGGTTAATTAATGTTAGAAGAAAATTCAATCTAACATACCTAATATCACGAATACCATGTCCAGTACTCCGTCTAATAGAATAAAAATACTATAAAATACATTATTTTCCTACGTAAATTGGTCGCGATTGCACACAGCTGAGCCGTGCATGCGCCATTGGGAAAATTCACAACGGTCATCAAAGGCCAATGGAAAAACTTGCGGAAAACTTAAAATCCTCTGATTCGCCCTCCGATTAGCAAGAAAACTATAGTGTACGTACAATGATTAAAATGAAATGTTCAATCTTCGTAATAAGAGCAAAATAGCACCTGTGTCAGATGCGAATTGTTCACATTATTAATTTAAAAATATCCAGCATCTTCATGATGTTTGGTTATTCGCACTGTACTCAACACCATTCGAATGTTCAATGTTTCGACATTGGCAACATAAAATTTATGCTTTCTTCGTGCATGTATATTTATTTGAATCGAAAACAGGGTAGAATCTTGCACGTATTACCGAAAAAACTATGTTGGAAATCATTGAGACGGAGCTTCAACGACTTCGGAAAAACGATGTAATGGAGTGCAGGCATAACTAAAATGGCGTACAACGTGGCGCACAACGGAATTAGATGAAATATAAGTTCTTGTAATTGTATAATATTGTTTATAACATAAAACCACTTGAATTAAACTGGAAATCCTTTTCCAGACTATCCTGTTTCATTGAATAAACTACACAGCCTCAGTCCATACGATACACATGTTTCTATAACATGGAAAAATTCTTAGTTTTCCCGCGCGTATTTCGATACTCGTCGAACTGTTCTATGACTTTTTTTGGCACCGTTTGTGTCATATTTTATATTTATAGCAATAGCACGTATCGCAAATAGATAGGTACGTATAGTCATTGCGTTTAATATGTTGGAATACTGCTTTTGAAATACTTGGATCTTTTTTTGTAACATTATTTATACCCTTTGCTTGTTGCAGTTTTAAACAACGTGTAATTACGTAAGTCATAGTTATACTCTCCCATTCTGAATTCTGTGGAAATGAATCTGACTTCTGATTGGCAAATCAATAAAGAAAAACTTCTGGATCGTAGTCGATACTTATTAGAAACAGGAAAATGGGCCGACTGCCGATTTGTAGTTGGGCAGGTATCTCACCAACAAATATTGAAAGGACATAAACTACTATTGGCAATGTCTAGTCCTGTCTTTGAAGCAATGTTCTTTGGAAATTTGGCAGAAAAAAATGACCTAATACCTATTCGGGATGTTCAACCAGAAGCTTTTAAAGCTCTTTTGGAATATATATATACAGATGGAGTTGACCTAAGTTCCTTCGAACTGGCTTGTGAACTATGTTATTGTGCCAAAAAATATATGCTTCCAGCTTTGGTGAAAGAATGTACAAGGTATCTATGGTCTGATGTATCTCCAGAGAAGGCTTGTAGAGCTTACGAATTTGCTAAATTATTTGAAGAGCCCGTCTTGATGGAAAAGTGTCTCCAAATTATTTGCACAAAAACGGCTCAAGTTTTAGAAGAACCTAGTTGGGAAGAAGTTGAATTAGGAACACTGTTGACAGTGTTGGATCAAGAGGAGTTACAAATAAATTCTGAAATTGATCTATTTATGGCAGTGGAACGTTGGGCAAAAGCTGAATGTACAAGGAAGTCTCTTGACCCTAGTGACGGAAAATCTTTAAAGTCAGTGATTGGCAATGCATTATCAAAGATTAGATTTTTAAATTTAAGTCATAAAGAATTCGCAGAAGGGCTAGGGGCGTCTCTGTTACTCACACAAGATGAAGCTTTTGCTATTCTTATGAACATAATCTGTACTAGTAACAGCAAAACACCTATGCCTAAAGAATTTTCAACCAATACTCAGAGAAGAGCTAAATTATTAACACCTTCAGCAGTAAGTATAAAATATATTATATGTTATGAAAGTCAAGTATATTAGTTTTTAGATTTCGAATATACACACTTCATAAGATCTCATCTTGTAGAAATTTAGACAATGTGGTCCACATTGTCCATCCTTGTTACCCCTTAATTATGAACAATCTACTGTTAACATTAATGAATGTAGTGGTACATCAGGAAATGTATCGAACGAAAATGATATTGAAATGCAAAATGAAGTGATAAATGATATAATGACATATATAATGGGCAAATATTTGTGCCAAGGCCCGATATATTACTGTCTAAGATCCATACATTTAGTATCGGAATGCCTTAATACGGATGAACTAGATAGTTCTTTAACTTTTAGTGTGGATAGAAACATTTATGTTTTGGGAATACAAATACCCACACAAATTGCTAAAACTGTAAGTTAATTAGTACGGTTATAAAACGAATGTTTAGCCAGATTATTTCACAACTGCATTACCCATTACAGTTCAATAATATGGATCATGCTACTGAGACTGGCATCACATATGCGGAAAACTTGTACGCTCAACTTTTAGATTCTGATAATACTCGATTAACGTGCATACATTTTACTATGAAATTAAATATACTAAGTCTCGCAGAAGTTATGTTCGATCGACCTATTTTTATCCAAAAGAATAAGGTACGTATACAAGCAATTCTTTGTAATGAATTTAATGAAATAAAAAGACATGAAATTGAAAGTTATTATTATTTTTTGTTCAATAATAGGTTTATCGAATTGCTGTAGTTTTTAATAAAGTCGGATGGTATCCAATAGGGCACTGTAGCAAAATTATGTACTATGATTCTGTTTGTTTCCGTTTTAATGTTGGTGTTGAAGATGATATACGAGATGGACTCATTCGATCTATAATTTTTACGCATAATAAGGTAAACGCGAAATACTTATAATACAATTTGGTTTAAAAATTTAGATATTTTAA